ATCATGAGTGAATTAGGAATGTGTGTGCACTTGTATAAGCGATATGTTGATGATATAAACATTGTTATGACAATTCCGCAATGTGACGTATCATATCATAACACCCATTTACATGTGACGCGCGATGAGGTTCCTATGGATAAGAAGTGCATGGAGTTTGTTAAGTGTGTAGCAAACAGTATTCACCCATCTATAGAAGTAGAGGTTGACTACCCTTCAAATCAATCTGACAATAAGATACCTATATTAGATTTAAAGGTATGGGTTAACCTGGTGAATAATRCTTATTTAGTTATGCATGAGTTTTACTCGAAAGAAATATCTTCTAAGTCAGTTATCCATCCACGCTCGGCTGTACCATCGCAAGTCAAGAGAACGATACTCACACAAGAGGTACTCAGAGTTATGCTTAATTGTAACCCGTTACTACCTTGGGAGGACATTGTCACACATGTCAATGGGATGGTGGCAAGAATGCAATACTCTGGGTATGGACAGTCTTTTAGGTATGATGTTGTTAAGTCAGCCWTGAATGCATATAGGAAGATACTGCTATTAGACMAGAATGGTGTACGGCCGATGTACAGACCRAAAGAGTGGAGGAGAAAAGAACGGAATGATGCGAAGAGAGACAAGAAAGTTAACTGGTATAAGAAAGGAGATTACACTAGTGTAATTTTTGTGCCAGCGACACCTGACTCTCGATTGAAGAAGATGCTAGAGAACGATATCAAGAATTCCAACGTGAAAATCAAGGTTGTGGAGAAGGTATAGACCAGCGTGAAACGTGTTCTGCAGAGGTCCAACCCCTTTACGAGAAAGGTATGCGGTAGAGAGGATTGTGTTGTGTGCAAGACGGATCAGTCTGGTCGGTGCCAAACACAAGGAGTAACATATGAGATTGCTTGTGCAGGCTGTGAATGCAAATACGTGGGTGAAACATCAAGGAGCGCATACACACGAGGGAAGGAACATGTCAGAGACTTGGAGGCATCAAATGAGAGGTCAGTTTTAAAGATGCATTTTGAAGAGAAACACTCAGGAGTAGCACAAGCCTTTAAGATGAGGGTCACTTACGTGTTTAATTCAATGGAGATGCAACCTTGAGGCAGATAACAGAGGCGGTCCAGATAAGGAGGTGTGGAGGTAGAACCATGAACAATAAGAATGAGTGGAACAATGTAAGAATTCCACGTGCCAATATAGAACTTTCTTAACTAATGTAATCTTTGTTCTTCACCGCAGTTTTGTAACACCTTTAGCTCGCGCTACGTAATTTACGYGCGCTGTTTGTAAAATTTCAAATGTAAGCGCGCTTATCGTATACAACAGTTGTAGAGGAATTGATAAGAACGCCTTCCAAAATAAAATGAACTTTTCCAAAATAGCATTTTCAGTTGAAAAGTGCTAATTTCCAATAAAACGTTTCACATACTCGACAAGAAACGTCCACTTTTAGTCATGTCTAAATATTCATGCAGTTAAAAAACCCTTAATTCCCCATTTTGGTTATTAAGTACAAGAAAAACAGACAAATTGAATAAAGTAGGAAGATATTTTAATATACTAATTTGAATGTGATTTTAACTGAGGTTAAAAAACAGGAACAAAAGTTGTCTCTAAATTGATTAGTTTTACCTGCGAGTTGTTTTAACTCTTTGCAAATCATACATTCTTTACAAAAACCTTAATTTGCAGATCTATTTCTAATCAATTTTTACACTATACAACTAAGACCTCTTTTTCATTTAACATATGATACTAAATTGACTGTCAAATTGAAAGTTACCTCGAATAAAGAATATTTTGCCGCACTAATTAAATTTCATTTCTTTTTCAACTTTCTGATAACATCTTTTCAAAGATAGAACAAACAGTAACAAGCAAGGTTCTATGTCGCAGGAATCCTGCAACAAGCAAAGTTCTATGTCGCAGGAATCCTGCAGCAAGCAAGATTGCATGTCGCAGGAATCCTGCAACAAGCAAGGTTCTCTGTTGCAGGAATCCTGAAACAAGCAAGGTTCTCTGTCGCAGGAATCCTGCAACAAGCAAAGTTCTATGTCGCAGGAATCCTGCAACAAGCAAGGTTGTATGTTGAAAAATTTCTTAATGTAAACAATTAAATCTGTGTTATAGACTTTTGGAATAACTAATGACTAATATAGATTATTGGACTTGTTCTTGCTCTTTGTCAACCTTTTTCAACAAATTCAAAATGTTCTCTGAGATAAAGTCCTTCTCTTCTGTCGGGGCAATTAGTAGGGCACTTCTCCCAGAGTTAAGTGCTGAGACAAATGTGTTGCCTGTTCTACTAACTTCAGTAACAACATCTCCCTCTCTGGAGAGATGCTGCACCAGCCACAACAAAGCTTCATGTGGAATTTCTTCTCCATCTGTTGAAGAGACCTCAATGACATTATCATTAACGTCGGAGATGTGTCTACTGGTAAGTTGACTTGACACTGACCAGTGGCCAACTACAAAGGTTACTAGGGCGTTATTGAATAATGATCCTGTAACAACAAAAATATAAGTATAAATGAAACGTTTAATTTCATTGTTATTATTATAATTTGGAAGTTGGATTGCACTTTCTATCCATTTCATGTAAGTGCAAAGGAAATATGTTTGACAGACAATTGTGATCTACATGTACACACTCTTGGTTGTCATTCTAGACAATTTTTTCAATTATTGGTGTTGAATGAATAAAGGAACAGGATTCTCATTTAAATCTTCAGAAATATAAATATAAATTATAATATTATTGTACAAAATTTACCATTACTTCTTGCATTCCTTCTTTTGACATAAAAATGTCCTACTTGTGTCTGGAAGGCCTTTTTTTTCTCCATCACTTCTTTGACGTGAGCAATATCCTCCACTTCAGTAAATAGAACTATATTGTATGAAGTTGCTTTGGTGTAGTTTACACCACAAATCAATTTCACAATATCTTGAGCAATCTATATGAAATTAATAAATCAAAATAAGCCTATTCACACATTTTTGACATTATGTTTTCTAGCAATCACCATCCCATTCAAATCAAGCTGTGTAAAAAGCTATTGTGATTAAAAACATTTTATTTATTATAATAAATTATTTACCTCTTTATTTCCTCGGGTGTCCCCAACACCAAGAAAGGAACCTTCAAAATGAGGCAGTTGTAATGCTGTCTCATTGTGAAATTCACTGATTTCTCCATAGACGGCTAGCCCTGATGAACCAAGTTGACCATCTATAAGCTCTGCCGGTGTTTGCTCTTGAGTCACTGAATTCTTGAGCCGTTTCAGATTTTTTAAAAAAGTCTGAAAATCATGGGATTGTTCAAAGTCTTTCCCCTAATTGAACATATAAATGAAAAAAAAAAATAATTCAGAAAAAATAATAAAAATAATGGTTGTCATTAATTATTTATTAGCATTAGAGATATCACAACAGAAGATCCAAATTGTTTTGTAGGGATGCATACACATAAAACTTAAAGTCATACACACTCACACTATAGCTCTGGCCTGGGTTGTCCAAAGGTAGATTAGTGCTAATCCTAGTTTAACTCTAAGAAACCCTATCGAGTTAAATCTGGTTTAGCACTAATAGAGCTGTGAACAACCCAGCCCTGTATCAATGTAACACTTACAGCATGTCTAAGCAGTTTGTTTACAGAAACTGCCTCCCCAAATTCTTTGGTAGCTTCCGCCCAGCTGGCAAATTTAAAAAAGTCAACAATGGAGACTTGTATGGGTTTGACTTGCTTAATCTCCTTACTGGCCACTTTCATCTCTTCAAGACTCATGTCCAGTTTTGCAACCTATGAAAAAGCAGTCCATTGTGTATCAAAACTTTATCTTATTATTATCTAGTTAGTAGTAGGAGATATATAAGATGCCTGAAATACATGCACTTTGCTTTCAAGGTCTCTTTCACAGGTGTGTTATATTACAGCATTAATATTGTTTACTCTTTATTGTCCACTCTGATTCATTGATAGATCCCATAAAAACACTTTAAATGAAGGTTACTGTGATACCTCCATATAAAATGAAATCATTTCATTCTAAAAAATCATATTCTACAGTTATTTAGCTTTAAAATGATGTATAATGTGTTTAGCTGACCCCGGGAAGATAAAGAAATATACAGAATTAATATACATATGAAAAATACAAATTAACCTAAAAAACAATAGTTTCTATACCTTTTTCAATAGCAAAGTCCTGTCCTCTTTACATAGACTGCACAATTCTTTGAACTGCCATTGCTTCAGTACTGGCTTTCCTTGAATTACCTCAACAGATTTGACTTTTTGATCTTTTAGTTCTCCATTTTCATACATAGTGTTTATCTCTATGAGGTGGCTCCAGGCTTCCTCACAAATTTGTGCCATTGTGAAGATTTCACTGATGTTTCTTTTCTGTGAAAATATGATAAAAATATGATTTAAGACATTGTACTAAAGTAACACAAAAACTTTCAAAGAAAACATTAATCAGTGTTATCACAAAGAATAAATCTTCATGAGAGTATAATGCTTTTCTTTTTTTTTTTCTTTTTTCACTTGTAATCTGAGTTGTCATTTAATAGGTGGTCCCCGATCTAAGCAGATATACTTCAATTTAGGGTTTTATAGCAATATAACGTCTCTGTATAAATTTTCTAAACTTACTGGCTTGTTAAGTAGACTTGAGCACATATCTCGCCAATTTTCATTACTCTCAGATGATTGACTGAGCTGTGTGCGGCAAATTTCCAACTATAATAAAATAACAGTAGACAAAAAGCATTTAGAACACGTTAGTCCAAATCAGATCAACACAAGATACAGTCAAATCTCCCATTAAGTGGACACCCTCGGGAATCCAAAAAAAGTGTCAAAGTAGAAATGTCCATCTAATAGAAAGGTTCCCTATTAATTTTATCTTACTAACTAAAAAAAACAGTTATCAAAAGCATTGTAAAATCACATGTTTGAAATTTGATGTTAATTATGTCAACAAGGATAAATAGGTTCAGATGAAAATATTCATTTACATGTAGTAATTAATTTCTTTCTAAGTTGAACAGCCTCTTTTTTGGATTACAGTGATATTTTGCAAGTTAAATTAGCATGGACTTTTTCTAAAATAGCAAATCTATTGCATTGTGCTTCAGTTTTGGCATAAACATCTTATGTTTGCTATGCCAAATATGGTATTGTTTGTACCAAAGCTAGATCACGATGCACTATATTTTGCTATTTCAGAAAAGGTCTATGATGGCATGATATTTGAAACAAAATAGTTAATACCTCATCTATGTATGTAAGACTATGTCTAAGAGATCCTGTATTATTGTGCATTGCACCTAGCCACCTTGCATCTTCATTTTTCAGACCCACATATATTCTGGCCAGTCTCCCAAAGTAGTTCTTGTTATCTGGGAATTGTTCATGCAGTGTCTTCGTAGCTATTGTGAGATGAGTCCCACCAAGAACTTCATATCTGTATTCACTTATTTTGGACAGATCAAAATCGTCTTTTTTCTCACAGTTTTTCACCACAACAAACAATGGCTCATAGCTCCCCGACGGTTGCTCTTTGGTACTTTTTTCTAATTGCTTAAGAAACATGTTATCCACTCTCCTTATTTGCCTTTCCTTTGGTGGAATGTCAATGTTTCCAATGGGAATGAAGTGAGTTCCTGCAGTATTAAAAGTGAATTTGTTAAAGAAAAATAATATTTCAATTCACTGAAAAAAATATATATCCAGCATAACTAAAATTATATCAAACCAGACCTGCATCATAATTATTGATTAGATATTTCTTTGTTTTATCAGATGCCCCACCAATCATAATACTTTGCAGTTGTAAATAAACAATCCAATTACATATTGTTAGCTTCAGTTACAGGTTTAATACAGACTCTGGTTGGAGTCAAAAAGGCCCATGACATCACAAACTGTGACATTCGTCAAATTTATAACTTATTTGGTTATATTTACCATCTATTCTGGCCTCGTGACACCTAGTGTCAATGTTTTTAACATATTCACTTGAAGATGGTTGAGTTGTACCAGTGGATTTCTTCTTTTTTTGGTTTTGCTTCTTGGTGAAAATAGGTGACAGTGACCTTTTCCTAGAGTTTGAAGCTGTTTGGTCAGATTGAGAAGATGGGCCTGTTGCGACGCCAATAGCCTCCTCCTCACTGAGTTTCTTTAGAACATTACGTATATGTTCTGCTAAGTCCTTCGCATCTTTAGTGTTTGTGACTGACCGAAAGGCTCCATCACATTCAAATTTGTTGAAGTACTGGGGGTCTAATTTTGCAAACTTAGGAGACCTTTCATCGGAGCTCTCATCTTCAGTAGTGGCAAACTCAAGCTATAAGAAAATACAAAAAAAGTTACATATGTTTTTCAAGCTAAACAAGTCCCATGAACTTCTAATACCTCAACAATGTCTCTTGTCTTTGACCTTATATGTATAGTTTCGTGTTTAGCCCCAACTATAGGCTCTTTCAATCCATCAATTTGCTTTCTCGCTTTATACAAATATGCTTTCTTTGCGTTAATTTTAATAAACCAAAGTTTCTCCTCAGTTCTGCCCATGACTGGATAACTTGCACACGTACAGCTACGTAGTGCTTGTGTGAAAGATACCACAGCAAGCACTGGACCGAATGACAACCTCACTTGTATGGCAAAAGCACATTAAAAAGGCCGCCTCGGACGGCAAGAGTGACAGTAACGAAGCCGACACAATAGGTACGTTGTTCCTTAATTAGTATTAACGAACAGCAAGACCAAGTTTCAGTTCGCACCTTAAGTTTTAAAGTAAAACTAGATAGAGTAACTTAAGTTAAATAAGTCTAAATTGTTTATATCGAAAACTTACCTAAACAAAAAATTGTCATTCTAGCATCTGTAACATTATTTATTACCAGAAAAGCTGCTTTCTTGCAGAGAAAATCTTAATTTGGCATGTAACATTTGAATAAGCCGATTTCCGTTTGTCTAATTTGGAGTGTGAAGTTCAACATTGAATAAAACGCCGACATCTTTTGGTAAACGCCGACTTTATGGGCAAACTTTTATAAAAACGTAATCACCCTTAGATTGTAAATAAGTGAGAGCATAAATTCAAATACTTACCTCATAAATGAACCAACAAAAGAGAACGTGAGCTAACCGTCAGCCATTTTCCGCCATTTTGGATGTGGAGTACTAATTGATGCGCATGCTTGGAATGAATGGATACCAATCATTGGTTGTTGAGCAAGCACGTGACTGTTAAAACCGACTCATGTCAAGTCGCTCGAGTGACGGTTGTTGTTCGTAGATTGCCGCATTGACCTTTTTTCATTGGAAAATATTAAGTATCTCCTGTGCTATAATGTAAGCTACTTGCAATGGATTTGAGCTACGACCAAGTAAATTGCCTTGTATCGTCGGACAATATTGGCCCGTTAACTAGTACGCCTGTTAAGAGCACTAGCGTGAACCTGGTCGACATCTCTACAGATTCTGAAGCGAGCTGCCTTTCTCCTTCAAACAGACCGAGAAAGAGATCAATTAATCTTTTGGATATATCCACTGACAACGAGTCAAGCTACTCTTCCCCCATAAAGTCCGTAAACTTAGTGGATTTCTCTTCCATTGATGATGCTTCGCTCGAGATAGAAGTGGCGGAGAAGAGCGTTAACCAAGATCTCTCTTTTGGTAAGCCAAAATAAACTTAAGTTAAGTTAAGTTTAAGTTTAAGTTATATAACGTACGACATAACCTCGAGCCAAATATTTTCCCGTACGGCCCGATCTAACTCAGTCAATAAGCATTTTATAACTACTGCAATGGGTCAACTGTTGCGATTGGAGTAGTAATTTTGCGACATTATTAAGCTTATGCATTATTTCAGATACCGTGTTATTGCTCGGTTTCACATTACGTCACCACCGCCATGTTGGATGACGATACAAAGCATTCCTCATTAGTTTCGCTTGTTCAGTCATCCAACATGGCGGCGATAGCTTTGTTCTTTAATTCTCGAGGGATTCTTGATCACGTGGTTGAAACCCAAGACATGTAAATCCCTTTTAGGATTTAATGTTTATTATTCTCCTGCCAGGTTTTTCAGACAATCTGTTGTCTATCAGCCCCATAGATGGAACACAAACTAAAGAAACTGAAGGTGACTATCCTCTTTAATTTTAAGATTGTGTTACCACTCATGATATTTGTTGTAAAATTTCAAAGTATTCCTATATAAAAATTTAAATGTAAGCAATATGATACAACAGGCTTTTTATTATAAGAGAACAACACATGATGTACAGTAATAAGAAATTGAAAAAAAAGCTAATTATTTTATTTTGTTCTTATTAGGTTTATCTTCCAGTGACAATAGCAATGATGCTACTTTAAGTGCATTTACCGTAAACAACTCTGACCAAGGGACTTCTCAAAGAGGTATAAATTACTGAAATTGTGTAATTAGTTTTAACTGTTAAATAAAGGCATATGTGTAGTACTATTAATGAAAGTTATGTTTATAAAGGAATAAAAGGTGTATCAACTCTTGATGTATGTGTGATTTCTAGGTGGGTCTTTGGCTGATAACCATGAAAATACACAGGAAACTCATGTAGGATCTGATAGTCAAGGTAAGGCCTCACATTGAAAAAGGTAAAAAACAAATAATGTAAGGATATGAATATGACAACCGCATTTCTATATAAAAAGCAAATAGTGTGGTCTACAGTATCATTCATATTATCAATTGCTGTCCGTGTCGAAAGTTTGCTTTTTTTCTGCAATAATTACAATTTAAATTGTTGTTCTTTTTAGAGGTGCATAGTTCCAAAGTACAAGCACCAACAATAGCCACACCTAGAGGTACAGTATAGGGCATATTATTTCCTCAATTGTTTGAAATGTTTGACTTTTTACACAATACAGCAGCAAATGATAAAAATATATGCAATAATAATAATATACTATATCATACAGCAATATGCAGAAATTCTGACCACTTTGACTCATATTCCAACTATATATAAAATATATCAGAAATTATGGGATATCATCGCTGATATTTTTTTCAGATACTACTGATCCTAGGCAACTTCAAAAAAATATCAGTGACCATATCCCATAATTTCTGATATATTTTATATATAGTTGAAATATGAGTCAGAGTGGTCAGAATTTCTGCATATTGCTGTATATTATTTTGACATAAAAGCAAATTATGTCATAGTATACCTTGTTTTTATAATATACTTCCAATAAATGGAGAAAGCTCAAATGTCTTATTTTTAGATTTTAAAAAAAGAGAGAGATCTAGGTATTTTATCATTATATGATAAATATTTTTGCTTTAATTGCATTTTCAGATGTCTACAGGCCTACTAGTGCAAAGGACCTTCAAAGCAAAAATATTTTTCTAGATATTTCAAAGCCAGCACATATTGTCAAAGCTTTAAAAGAATGGTTTCAAAGTTTAGAATCATATGTGTCTACATTTTTAAACAAAAATATCAATATTGTTATTTCGGATGAAGAYGTTCTTGAAAAAGGATTGGCCAAAAAAAATTTTGATATGTTACTTAACCGCAGTGCATCAATGATTCAGATGGCCAAAAAAAAAGAYGCATCTGGCTCATCATCAGTAAGGAAGATTGCTTCAGATTGGAAAATCAAAATAATTCAATACAAAGACGTTTTGAATTTAATGGAAAAAGATATGTTAGACAAGAAGAAAACATTACAAAATAGCAAAATAAATAAATGTTATGTACGTTCTCTAAAAAGATCTTTTATAAAAGTAGAAGACAAATCAAAAAAATTCAGGCCAGAGTATGCAGAATTTGAGYGTTTCCCCTATTTAGATTTTGATACTATCAGCTCTAGCTCACCTTTTGATAAATGGTTTAAGGAGAACAATCATCTCACCAGACATTCCAATTGATTATTAATAATTATTGTAAATTATTCGTTTTTGTCTTTTTACAATTTTATTGATCTCTGTTTCAAGATTTGAAATAAACAAATTTTGGAAAATGATATTGGTAGTGTGTTAGTCTCAAAATTATATTAGTTAATTCAAAGTAAACAAATTTGTTCGCTTTACTCAGATTTGTAAAATTGTTAATATGTAATTCTAACTTCATGATTTTGGAGATCAGAACTCAATCCTGGTACTTTTCACATCAAGATTTTTGAAAAGTTACACAAATTAAAGCAGTTTTCATTTTTATATGTTTACCTGAAAATGTTATTATCAAATTCATTAATGATTCATAAGGTAAACACAATGGAAAATCATTGCCGTGACCGCATCTTTATATGAGCAAGAGGTTTGTCCTGATTTGCATACAACTTTAACTTCGATTATTTCTTAAAAATGATATTTTATCCTGAAGGTTTTTTCAAAATATTCTTTAGCTTATAATATGTTGGAATTTGATAAGCAATATAAAATATTCACGTCCGACCTTTATGGGCTATAACACTGCGAGCTGGCACATAAAGGTCTCCCACTCATATTTTATATATTAATTAAAATTATATTGTTTCCTTTTTAATTGGTAGATGTCAGATTAAGGACTGAGGATGAGATAATGTGGCTTTTCAGCACTCCTTGTTGTCTGAAACGTTGTCTTCATCAACTGTCTATTGGTGACATTCAACATGTTGAGGTGATTTTAAAGGAGAGGAACCAAACTGAAAAAAGGAACTTCTTGCTGGACTTTCTTCATCAGCACAGCCAAATAAATGAATCKGGGGAGTTTGATGTTAATTATGTCATCAAGGGAAAGCAAGTGTGTAGAGAAGCATGGCTGGTGGCACATAATCTACCAAAGAGCAGTTTTAGAAGAGTTATGGAAAAATTTAAGGATGGAGCAGTAAAAGTTGATCAYGGWAACAAAGGGAAAAAGTCTGTTATGGCCAAAACTGGGGATTGCATTGCATGGCTTCAGTATTTTTTTAACACGATTGGGGATCATCAGCCAGACAGCAATGCCATTCATCTGCCATCATGTTTCAGCAAGATTGCTATATATAARAAAATGCTGGATGAAAATACTCARTTCAATCACCCAACTGTTTCTCTTTCCCACTTTTACAACATATGGGAKCAACACTTCAGGAATGTCACAATTCCAAAGGTAATTTGATTTTGTAGCTTCTGATGTAGACTTGTAATATCTGAAACTATCATATTATTTGTTGCTATTATTGTGTTAAAATCACCCATATGATACAATGTGTACTAGTAGCTAAAAAATAAAATACTTTGTTTACCAGGTTTCAACAGCCCAGAATTTTAATAATGTAATTTTAGTATTTTAAATTGTTATTTACCTTTTTTTTTTACACAGGAAAACCGCTTCACCAAGTGCACAGAATGTACTAGGTTTAAAAATCTYAAAGAACAACACCCTTCTCAACGTGATAGTATCAATAAAGAACTTAATGACCATCTTGATTTAGTTTGGTAAGTTCAARTATGGACAGAAACGTATAAGGGACTTGAAAGGTGTAATGCCCA